AGGTAGAAGTCTGGATTTTTCCTGATGGAGGGAGAGGTTCGAAGGATGTTGGTTAAAATGTCTAATTGAAGGATTCGCGTTTTTATGGAGGATCGTAACGGTCTGTGAATTGGGAATGAGGGTAGGGAATGAACATGGGTTACGCTGGCCCCACGGAAGCGTGCCCGTAACCCAAGTACGGGTTACGCGGGACGGAACGTGTTAAGACGTAGAATTACTTTACTTCGACATTCACGCATCTTTGGTAATTTTAAATTTGACGTATTAGTTAACATCGATCTTTAGGTTCTGATTAAAAGGCGACTGAGGGTGCAACGAGCCTCTCGAGTGCAAAGGGTTAACTTGGGACGTGCAGTCCTAGAATCACAACAGCGGACGCATATATGCGTTTCTGAGATACCTTTATGAGTCCCTCAGCCTTGTCAGTTGTTTTTCGCCGAACGTATATACGAGTTCTTCAACCAAACTGACAGTTTCCAGCGTTTTTGTAACAATTTCCTAACGACGTGTACACCACGTCGTTGGCGATTCTGTGACAAAAGCATTACCACGTGCGTGACACGTCTTTTCAATGCAAGTGGTTAAAACAAGTGTCAGGCTACACACTCGTCGCCGTTACACTTCGACACTTTATTTTTTAATTTTATTTCTAATAAAAGGCATGGAGGCATCCTTGTCCAATACGAATCGTGGAAAGCGAAGCATCCGTCACTGCATCGGAGAAGATTGGAGATCTCGCGCGGCAGCTCGGCTCGGCGTTTCGAGACGAATCTGTGCGGCAGGTGACATAAGTGATGCGAGCTTTCTATTGATTCAACGCGCAGATACCTAATCGCTTTCTACGCGTTTCACGGAGCGTCGATAATTATGCCGCGGCTATCGCTCGTTGCAATTTGTATGGACGACTACGGGAGAAACTACGCATTGTGCCGGGAAATCAATAAATTCCAGTACAAACGGCCGCGGCTCGAAATGCCAGGAAGATTCGGTGGGACGTTAATGCGCGTCCGTACGCTCGATCGTGCCTCGATATTAAGATATAAACGCGCGCTAATCGGCGCATAAATAAAGGCCGCGTCGCGGCGACACGGTCGCTTATGCGCTCGGTGTCGCGATTACGTATCCGCGAGGCACGAGATTCACGAGTCCGGTCACGACGTCGGAGCGGAGTGGTATTTTTAGCGAAACTCCGTAACAAAGTTTAAAATAAAGTTTCCACCGCGGCGACCGGATGATTGTAAATTAGAAGTTTACGGTCTGTCCGGGAGCGAGACGAGGTTAATCGGGCCAAGTTCGGCGCGGACGCGATCCGGCCAAGAAGACGTCGCGCGCTGGGCATTCGCGTTTAATCGAAAATTATCGCCACCGATTGGCTCCGACACTCGCGCGTCCATTGACCACTTGCGCTACGATGTAACCCTTTCGGTACGGAGGAGCTGGTCGCAGTTATGCATTCTAGGAAGTTTTCCAGAAGAGTGAGGTTGCACTGGAAGCCACGAAAACGTGTTTTGCGGTATTCATAGAAATCTCGAGCGTGATTGACGCTAAACTTTTCATTCGGACCGCGACAGTCATCGTCATCATATGACGTTTCGCGGATGCCGCCAATAGGCGACGGTAGGACCCAGAGAACGTTTCATGGCCGCCACCAATGGGTAGCAGTAGTACCGAAAGGGTTGACCCTCTATGGGCCCCTGTAACTTTCAAGTTACATGCTAATGTATGGGTATTTTATTAACCCCTTCGCTACTACGGGCGACTATAGTCGCTCCCCATAAAATGCCACGTATTGTACATACGACAAGCATCTGCAGTTATTGCACATCAACCATCTCACTCTGGACATGCGCGTGAGTATCTTGTTTTGCATTATTTGTTTATTACGGACTTCAATACTCAGCAAACCAAATGCCTCTGACGTTTCGTCGCAGCGGCTCGTTCTGATGGGGTACTGCGACGGAGAGTCTGTCCGTAGCGAAAGGGTTAAATACTGCATTCA